ACACAAAGGTGAACTGTGAATCAGTGAGCAAGTTCAGTGATAAGTTAAATGTGAAATCCAGGTCTGATTCCGAATTGTGTGACGATAACGGTGCGGTCAAGAAGTCCGTAGTCTCAACTAGTAAGCCATTGTTGAATAGAGTGTCACAGAATAGAGTTACTGCTTCAGAGTTCAGTTCTGACTCCACAAGTTTACAAGGTATTGCTAGTCATAGTGAAGGTATAAAACCTTTAAGGATTTGTGAGGAGGAACCAGAATAGTCTACTTCTCTTATTAAAGATTTTGAAAATGATGAAATTGACGGTTAAGTGAATATTCGTGATAATGATCATAATAATATATTTCTTCCTGTTTATGCAGGAACATACCAGTTTTACAGGCATGGATAAGTTATTATATAAATTACACAATTTATGTATGATGAATTTACAGTTTGGTTGTTCTCTCTGACATGAGAGTCAGTCGGGACAGTCTGCTATAAAGTCTGTTTGTGTAGCACATGAAGAGATATAGAAATATTGTCTTCGCATTAACAAAAACCCAGACATCAGATGAATGTAATACGGATATCTGGGGAAAAAAGCTTGAAGTCAATTCTCTTATATAACTTTGTTGTGAGCAACACCCTTGGTTTAAAGTTTATTGATGTATTTTGTTGAGATCAGTGATATAATTATTCCATTTTTCAGCAGTCTTATCTTAGTTTTATAACAGGAAAGAAATTTGATCGTGGAGGCGAAAACTAGATAAGGTCATGTGAAGTTGTTCTACTGCATCAAAGGGTGTCGAGGTCGATTCCAGAATCCTCCATTTGCGCCATTTGTTTCTGCATGGCGGACTGTATTCGTAAGTTCAGAAAAATGTTGAAAACTGTTTGAAAACCAGTTGCTTCTTCATTTCAGATAATGAATACTCATTTACAGCATGTTCGCCAGCGTCTTCAAATGGTAGAATTAGATCGTTCACGGGATTTAAGTGGTTATGATATAGATGGTTTGGAATTAATCCTCATTTCAGTTTAGATGCAGGGTTGTTCGACCTCGACCAGAAGATGAATAGGAGTAGCAGGGTACCAAAAATAGAAAGTATGTGAAAATGATACTTCACATTTGTCTTTGGTTGATCATGATGAGATGAGGGATATGCCTACTACTGCTTAGTTGAACAAAGGTTCTGTACAGCTACAACGTGAAGTAGAAATAAATGCAGATGCAGTTGCAGAAGGCATACATACTTGTGAGACCGTCAGTGTGATTGATCAGCATGTAGCCCACCTATCATCAGATGCTAGTGCTAAACCTGAGCTGATAGTAAAAGACAGCAGTGGTGGTGGTCTTGCATGTAGACAAATTTCTGAAAGTCGAGCAACAACAGCTTTTGATCCACCGCTAAGTTCACCAACTTGTGTCACTCAGTCGTCGTTGGTGTTGTCATCCACAATGAGGAAGACGCCCATCAACTCAAGTATCTTGTGCAATGACTTTGATAGTATTGGTGCATTTGAAAAGACGAAAGATATTGGTCAGTTTAGTGAGGATAAGCCAAGTGTAAACGAAAGAGTAATTGTTAAATTGACTTGCACGAATAAAGGTATTTCTAGTTTCAAGTTACTATTTGAATGTTATTATCTTTGGTGTAAATTACTCTGTTTCTACGCTTGGTTGACCAGATACGTCGTGTGTTTGTTCGTCATCTATGTTCTACGATACAATGTCATGAGCGTGTTACCGTTCAGATTTGAGGATATAGCTGATAGAAGGAAATCAGCACATGAACTCTGCGACGATTTTCCAACCTAGGGCGTCAACCTGAGAAGGGTTGTAGGCGTACTGGTGTAAGTCCTGCAATTCTTCGAAGGAATTCCACCAAGACATGATCCGCGAGGTTATTTGTACTGTTTGTGTATACGTGTGGTGTGTCATATCAATTGGTGTTTTTTGGATTCATTGTGTTTACTCGTTGTTTTCTTACCTTGTTTTTATTGCATAATTTTGGTCAAATTTTCGTCGTGATTACTTCTGAAGTTGTTTCGAGTCTTCTACATCCGTGAATGAATTGATTGATGTTAGAGACGGCAGATGGGTCGTATACACCGTGGTGGCTATTGCTGAGAATGAAATGCATACGGAGATAATTGTTAGGTGCGGTACCACACGCCGGGGAGAAGGAGTGTAAACGACTGAAGCTCGCATACGTCACCGTTACTAGGACTGAGGCAGAATGAGTGACAAGTGATTGCGGTGGTAATTGTTAGTGAGTATATAAGAGGATGTGCGTAGAGTATCGTGAGGTGGTGCTATGGTCACGTTGCATTCTGCAAGAGTCATTCTAGCAAGTGGAGATTGTGTTGCAAGATGTCAAGAGGACACCTTTAACTGGAAGGTGGAGGTTGTCATTGATGTGTGAGATTGTGCTGTGGGTATGCTTGTGGTGTGTTGGCTTTTCTGTTTGTTTTCCATTTCAGCTCTGTCCGTACGACCCAGGTTCTCGCAATGGCATCCAAGTCAACATGTATTGGTCGTGATAAAAATGGGATGGATCCGTTTTTTGCCGGGGAGTGTCAATGTAGTTGAAGATTGAATGATCAATTCATGGTTGTTTGCTCAAAACCAACTTCCCCAATTTTCGCGGAGGCATCAATACACCAGTCATCATCTCATCGGTCGCCGTTCAGAAAGAAGTCAGGACAATACCGTCAGAAGTAATATTGTGATTTTTTATTGTAATATTTGTTCATAGACCTTAGTTTTAAAGCTTAATTTTAAAGTTGGCTATATGTTGGTGTTACAGTAAAGAATTCTCGAGTGGCCAATCGGTGTTTTGGTTTTGCGTCCGTTATTACTAAGCGTTTCTGAGAAACTTCAAGGAACAGCGTGAGTCCCTGCGTAGCAAGAGCTGGGCATTGACGGTTTTCGAGACGTGACTGACACTGGTGTTCACATCGTGAGGTCTAGACCTGAATATGGATCCGAGTAACCGGCAATTCATTAGGAGCTAACTCACAAACAATACATATAATTCGATGAATGGCCATAAAGGTGATCTATCATAAGGCTAGTTCACAAAAGTTTGTATGAAAGAGGATCTCAATGAAGGTGAAAGTTGGACGTTTGTTTTTGGAACTGGTAGCCATTGGTGGGCAACTCGAAGGCGCGAATGGTTCGATCGTGTACAAGTTCAACGAGGACGACTGAAAACGAATAAAAGTACTTCATAATTTTGTACAAGACATTTGTTTATAGACTTGTACTGTTCTCCACTTTAATTACCAAACAATATACCTTCCCCCTAACAATACTGGTGTTTTGGAGTTAAAGTCGAAGAAAGTACACGGTATTATTCGGCGCGGAGCGTCTTCGCAACAAAAGGAACTTAGGGATAAATTCCTTGACAGAGGATTATATTACCAGTCGAAGTTTTCATTGTCGGCTTTGGATTTTCTGCAAATATAATTTTCTCAAAACCCGGAAGTTCCATTTCACACAGAGAGCTGATCACACGTAATTTGGTATAATTTGGGTCACCAAATATCCCAGTTTGTCAGGATTAATATAAAATTAATTGTCAGTCAAACATGGCATCCCATCACTGCGATAAATAACCCACTATTTGTTCTAGGACTTATTCGAAATGGTTGGTTTTAAAGTAGAATGACTGATGTTCACCCATTGCACTTCTATATATGACGTTTTCTGACTGATCGCTGAAATATTATGCTCCTACTGAGAGGATGAGAAAACGTTCAAGTAGGCAGGACAAGGGTAAATAGCTGAAAATTGAAGCCACCAACTTTGCTGCGTATAACCTCAAGCGGAATCTCTTCTAGCGGCATGGTGAATTGTCAGTAGAAATTCGAAGGTAAATCCTTGGATCTAAGTTAACTCCTGAAGTTCAATCTATAGCTTGCAGAGAAATCAGTTATTAGGAGTTTCTCCCTTCCGTCATAACTATTATACGGGCAAAAATACGAATGTCTTTTTCTTATCATATCATAGGAGAGGGGAGATCTAATAGCGTGCATTATTTGGGAACAACCCTAAGAGCATAGAAAGATGGTACAAACATTAGTGAAGAATTACGTCGCTGCGGAGTGCTGGTTCCCCTGACGTGCCGCTGGCCTCTAGAAGGCTGAATACCTGCATCACTTAGAGGCTTCCAAGCTCTTACCCATGTCGGCAGTAACTAATGATTGTCATGCAAGTAGTTGGCTGCTTGATTCAGGCCAATCACTGTTGCTAGGCAGCTAAATCAAATAAGCTCAGATAATTCAGGAAGTAATTTGTATCTATGCCCATTCGAAGACTTCTTAAGACGGAAAGAATAATTTCAGACCATAGGAAATGCAGTTAACACTCTCCCTCCTCTTCAAATATTAATAATCTGCTTAACATACCTGTAAATCTCAGATTTAGAGGTGAAATATCGACCAAGGAATATGAGTTATGCAGTGAATTATCGGCCTTACTGAACGCTTTATTCCCCTGTAAACTCTAAGAGACAGTTTCGCAAAACTTTTCACCTGAACAGTCCAAAAAGGAATAGGCAGGCAAAAGTAATTAACGGTAAAAAGCCACAGGCTCAATCACAATCGGAAGTTCGAAGAACTGGGTGTTTGTTGAGTACTGATGATTCTGATTATTTCGGCTTATATCATATGGATCGCTTAAGAGCGGCATCCCTAATCTTCCCTTTCCATTCGGAAAATCTCCCAGAGGAAATCACAAAAGGCATTTAAACTGCTATCGAATGACCACCTTGTGGAATTACGATTCTCAGATAGAGTGGTAAGCACTGAGACTCAAAGTCAAATCAAGCGGTACCTTTTCCTTTGACGAACAATTTCTAAGCGGATTCAGATAGTTACAGAGACAAACTGTGAGTCAATTCTGAAGACCGGAGACCACCATTGAGGTTTGAATAAAGCCGGCCTATTCAAGTTTGTCCTTGGCGCCATTTACACTGTTCTCGCAAGCTAATTTAATCAAATGACTTGATTTAAAATGAGTCGTAAGATCTGTTTCTAGTATTTCATACCATTAATTCAGAAAAGGATGTGAACAAAGTAGTCACGGTATATGCCTATTTGCCACAAGGTGATAAGTCCAAAGAAATATCGTATACTGATGCCAAAGTAATCGGAAATGGGTCTTTTGGTGTCGTCTATCAAGCCAGACTTATAGAAACCGATGAGATTGTTGCTGTTAAAAAGGTTCTCCAGGACAGGCGTTTTAAGGTAACTGATTTTTGTTAATCGACTGTGGTTGATACATGGCAGATCTGTCGATGTAAACTATTTTTTACTTTTGTGACCGGTTTTAGCTAGCAAAAGATCAATATATTGAAATTTTGCTTGTTATGTATGTCGATAATTATGCCACGGTCTTCATATTTTAAGAGGATCTCACACCATTTGATGATTTGATTGTGCTCACTTCGAACATATAGGCTTCCTGAAAGAAAGTTGATGGATCTCTTAACGTATACAAAGCCAAATTATGTGTTTGCTAGTTAATCTTCACCTGGAACATTATACCCCAGTCCCTTGACTGACATCCAATGAAATATTTACATACATACTTATTTTCGCGTTAGTGTGTTGGTTACGCGTTGTATATGGTGTTTTATCTTACTTGATTATTCTTAGCGGTATGATTTAGTTGTATTCATATTTTCTTTTTTGAACTTCAAGGATTACAGAAAGTGGTCTCCATCATAAATACCCAGTCTGCATTTTTGTAATTTGATCATACATTGGCTAGTAGATATAAACTTAGTTGATTTCCCTGTGACTATCTAGGAAGATTTTCCCCTTTTTTATGAATTGTGGTGATTGATTAGCGATCATATTCAAACAGGACTATTTCGGATCATCATACGCTAGCTGATACCATGGTTAATCTAGCCAATAAACCATTAGTACTATCACGAAACATCTCTACAATTATACCGTCAAATATCTCTGCTTTGCCCCGTTTTCGTAAATAGGCGGATTTTGCAGCCGTAGTTACTCTTGGATGACCGATTTTATGGCCCACTGATGTGGGGATTGTCTAGTGGGCAAAAATAGCACAAATTTAGGCCAGTTAATTTACCTTCCAAAATGTTCTATTCAACTTTCCAATCATTTGTGATGAAAAGTCTCATCCTTCTAGATCATTTCTTTAACTAGGGTTTTTTAGAGCCTGTCTCCACTGATCACAAATAGTTACTTATTATTACTTAGTGCTGTTAGCTTTTCCATTTCCTCCGCAATCGTCACCCACCACTGTTCACACTCGTCTCGAGGTTGATATTTGGAACGCCTTTCGCAAGGTTGGAGTCAGATGAAATCAGCCTTCTCGTATCGTCAGTTTGGATGGAACTGCGGAAATTTACTGACATTTGTATGCCTTTGACCGCATATTATCAACAGCCTCTAGTACTATTTCTATAGTAGATGTGATCCCAGGTTGCCTCAAGATAAGCATTGTTTTATGTTCAGTTATCTTTCTAATTACCAATTTCATTTTGGAGATTGAATTCTTGCAAATACTTGATTGACGAATTTGAACTTCATTCTTATTTCAAGCGTTTTAAAAAGTATTGTCAGCATGTATAATTCAAATTTGAGGTTCAACCAACACAGTGGTGACTAAATCCAACTGTCGCGTCAACTGCTTAAATAACCACTCATGATCTCTGCATTCCCATAGATGGCTGTTTTACTTGTTCCTGTATTTTCTTACTAGGTTTTGTGTGAATTGTCCTAGAGAACGGTGTTTATCTTTTTGTCTTGATTTGAGTAGATCGAAGCAAAAAGTGAAGTCGTAGACAAGAAGATTACTCCTCCATCATCTCTGCGTTTCGACCCTATTTCTTACCCAGAAATTCGGTTGGTGAGTTGATTGCCTACTTTTACGAGAGAGGTGGTTGTGTTTGGTTTACGGGAATTCCTACAGATTAAGGGGATGTCCCATGTAGTAAAGTTACCTGTTGTGGTGGGATTCTTGTCCTACATACTTTTTATCAGCGGTAGAAGTTCGGCAAAACTTTGTTTGTAATCATTTCTTTATGATTCTTCCTGTATTTACTAAGCTTGACTTTCTTGGATTCAGTTCTGTTGTTTAATTGGGTTTTTATAAAGTGGTCCATGAAGAAATGTCAACCACCAGCCATTGTGTCCGTGTCTCACGTATTAGAAATTATTGATTTTAAAGCTTTTTGTATGCTAGGTTGGTATCAGTTATTTTTATTTACACCAGAAGTGAACATATGGCTCTCGGGTTTGAAACCTTATCCATATGCTTCAGTCTAGGCGATTGGATAGTATAATCGGTACTCATGCAATAAATGTGGTACATAAAAAATCTGCTCCAGGTAACTATCTTTCAACCAGTAACCATCAGTGGGACAGTTGGTAGACTTAGTTTGTGGTAATGTGCCATAGTTAATCCTGGGATATAAATAAACATCACTGTTACTCAAAAATCAGGTTTGTTCGTGTTTCCAGTCCTTCCACTAACTATTCATTCACTGACCCGTTGAAGTTGAAAAATTTATCTTCTTTTGTGAAAGCCTTGTACCACTTGGATTAAGTATTCGACTTTCGACCAGCGAGTCATGCCTTCAAGCCTGCTTCAAGTAGTGTATTCAGACCCTGTGGAGGATATTAATATGCATGTGTTTTTGAGTAACATAACATCATATTATCTTTCACTTTTAGCTTTAGTTGATTGTCGTCCATCTATACACTGTCCTTGTTATCATCCGTTTCAAACAACTGTCCTTTACTTTCACTATAGATTTATCTGTTGTTTCCAACTTTATTCTGGAACAGAAAAACATTGCATTACTAGTTAACAACACTTTCACGAATAGTTACCGTGTTACGTTTTTCCGGACTGAAAGTTGAAATAAATCGATTTTATGTAACATGAAATAAACGATGATGAAATGTTGAGTATTTAAAATTTCCAGCAAATGAGTTACCAGGCTTACATACCGGTACTTTTTTGTAATTTGATATACTCAAGTGCTTTTACTTAACTGGATAGCTCATCCCATTGTACCTAGCGACTTTGTAACTTGCAAAAGGTTATATAAGGTAGTATTTATAACACACTATGCGCTATTAGGATTGAAAGCAAATTTAGAGAATGAAATACTAGAAAATCTAAGTGTTAGTATAACACTGAAATATATAGTAATTAATTATCTTTCTATCACTAAATCTGAAAGCTATAATGACAATTTATCACTTCATGCATGAATTGATAGCCACTTTATTTAATACCAACACCATGTTATTTTAAGTCTTTTTGAAGATAGTTATGACCGCTGGTTGATTTTACTGATATATTTTGCAAACTAACTGATAGGCAACTTTAGTGTCATTCAAATATCTGCGTTGGGTTGTGCGCTTAGTTTATTGCTTGCTAGCCACTTCTGCTGAGTGAGCAACTAAATAAGTAACCAAAGTATAGTTCATATTTTTATCAGTGATCGGTAGTTTACTACTTAAACTCCTGAATAACTGTGTAGGCGTATTATTATTATTATTGTATCCTTTAGTTCCTAGAGGAACATAGGGCTTCAGCTGCGCACCTCCATTGCCTTCGGTTTTCTGACAACTTTTTCACCCTGCTCCAGGTATGTCCACATGCTTTCATCTCCTCCTCGCATGACCTCCTCCAAGTCACCCTTGGACGACCAACTGTGTAGGCGTACTCTCCACAAGATTAGACAGTCTGGGATCATAACCTTTATCATTTATTTTTTCTACAAACTCAGCACAGCATAGGTAGTAGTAAATGAACCACACAGAGTAATATAACAGAATCGTGTAACCTGAATGTCAGTCTCCAGCTCATTGATAACCACTGGATGGATTTCCTGAAGCTTCATTGGGAAGTCACAACCAGCCGGGTCTATCGTGTCAAGGTGAAGTGGGTGCTCATTGAAGACATTGGTGAGGGAGGCGCTATAATGCGAGTTGACGAAGGTAGAATTCGGGGGTCACTGAATCCCAGGCCAAGCAGCTGAATAGTCGACGAGCTTGGTCTCCTTAACTGAATGTCCCAGGCTGGATCCCCGTAGGAGGCGCGTGTGCGCACTGCTGAAGAGTCCCCAAATTGGGTGGAATAGCTGTCCAGTGCTTCCTGGTTTCCGTTGGTCCCTCAATTGATCATGGTTCGTGACGAGAATCTAACAATTAAAACATTCAGAAAACTTGAAGTAATGAGTAGTAAATGTAACGCAATGCTGTGAGAAGCAGTCACACAAAAAGGAGGTATCATGAACCTGTAGAATGATATCTCATACTACTGAGTTGCACAGTTTCTTGGATGGTTATTCACAGTTTGGTATTCAAAGATAGAAGGCTGATGCATTTTATCTAACTATTGAAGTCTATTCTTTTCTGTAACAGTAGAGTGTAAATATTGTACTATTGAATATCATAGCTAAAAGTTGGTGAACATCGTTTTTAATGAATTTAATGCTTCTTTGAATCTTTGTGTTTACTGTTCATGAGATGGAAAGTGATATTTAATAAATGCATATCCTAAGTCGAAGAAAATCTTAGTCATACTGAACATTTTATTCCATTTTCCCGCTGCCACACGTTTCTGTTTATTTAAACATATCGGTTGCAGGAAATCTACATCAAGTTATTTATTTTAAACTTGTGTTTACTTTGTTATATTTCACTGCTAAAAAAATGCCAAGCTCTCACAGCTATTTATACTACTAGGAATATACCAGCTAACTGTTGTTAAAATGCACCAGCAATTTTTTTACACTAATTGTCTAAAACTTTGTACCCTAATGACGCAATTATAAAACCCAAATAAAAGGACGAAGTTTCTGTTTCGCTTCAGTCATCGAGGTTATCACCCAACTATCACGTGATTGTAACACGTTCACCACTAAGCCAGCTGCTTATTTGTTTATCATTATTATTTTCTTTTAGAATCGTGAACTACAAATCATGCGACAATTGGATCATCCAAATATTGTTCAGCTGAAGTATTTTTTTCATTTCGTGGGCGAGAGAGTAAGTTTCTACGCTTTCACTAATGATCGGGAGATATAAATATATGTGTAAAACTCGCGCACTGTAGTAGTATGTAATTCCATATTAGTTTGTTTATTAGATATATCAGAAATTGAAACGGTATTATTTACTGGGTGACGTTTAGAACACAATTTATTGTTCATGATCATATCAATTATAATCACACGACTTCGAAACCTGAGTTTTATAGTTTTCTTTGTCTTCTCCTATTTGTCGTAAGGGTAGTAGAATTTTCCATATATCTGGAACAGGTGTTGAATCATTCCTATTACACGTATTTTCAGTTGATTCGATTAACAAAGCTTCTGTTGTCAATCTCTCCCTCCACCCTGTGACATTAAATTTCAAAACTGTCATCTTATCCTATCCATCCTATAATGTATGGTTGTGTGCAATTGCATGTAGTGAGTGCTATAGTTGTACTATTCTCTAGATTTCTTATCTTATTCGGCTCAACTAATCTAGATTTTGCTAGATTTTTATGCTCCGCTAGTCTGAATGTACCTGTTCTACTGCTTTGACCTATGTATTTGACCTGATAATCATTGCAAGCAGGGTATTGGATAAACTAAATTGTTTTGTTTTAAAGGCTCCGCAGGGTCCTTTAATCTACAAAGCTTGTTTCTAATTGAGTTTTGTGGGTTTGAATGCCACTTTTATGATACCGTTCCAATGTGTGATATATCTATTAAAAAAACCAATATGAAATGTGGAAATATAGTTTTTAACATACATATATAAATATATTGTTCCTACGGTACGTCATTTCGCCACGTAAACCTTCAGATAATTAGGCTAGACACTCGAATGCTTGTGCCACAGTATGATGCTGTACGCAGTTCTAGTCCTGCAAATGACTATAGGAAGAATTTATTCAGATCACGTAGTTTTTTCATCGGAACGCCAGCTCATCTGTTTAATATAAAGCATACATGCAAATTACTTTGTTATTGTTTATTTATTTCTATTTTATTCGTTTGCGTTCCTAGTGGAACCTACGGTCTCATGCTTAAGCTTTGAGTTTGCAGTAACATACGTATTCTTTATGGGGTGGGACTGCCAGCCTCACACTCAACCTTTCCTCTTCACCGGGCTTACGACTGGTTTGGCGAGGTTCAGCAGTGCGTCCACTGAGGATCGAACCTCGGATCATGTGATACACTTTCTGTTAAATGTTTTGTTGCATTCTTGGCATGTACAGCTGCCACTCCTGCACACATGATTCTTGTGAAGGCAATCCGTCGAGCGATTCTGTTTATTATTACTAGTCAGTATGTATAATTGGACTGTTGCAAGACTAAGTTTCCTCAACTGTCTATCAGATATCACAATCATTTCAATATAAAGTTGTTGAATGCACTGCTGATCATCATGTTAGCATATCTAAAGGGTCTTTGTATTTTGTTACTTATGACTTGTTATCCTTAAATTCATTTAAGAACTCGTTTACAAAGTAGTAGAATCACTTTGGATTGTATTATTTTGTCTCTTAATTTTGCATTCACTTTTTATTTTCTAGAAAGATGAAGTATATTTAAATCTGGTTCTTGAATTCATCCCGGAAACAGTTTATCGCGTTGCCCGACGATATGCCCGCCAAAAAGAAACAATCCCACTTCTATTTGTGAAGGTAATTTTATTTTTGTTCTTAGGTGTGGATCGGTTCCTATTCATATCAAACCTTGACTTCTGTCTCAAGTAATTATCAGTACAACATATATATATATATATAATGGATTTTGTTTTCTAACAACTGATTTCTATATTGGAAGTAATAGTGTACAATCGCTTCTTGGACGTTATCACACGCTACTTCATTATTGCACTATATTTTTGTTAATTAATATTGTACGCACCCAGCGGGGTTCGAACCCAGGACCCTCGGGTTAAAAGGCGTGCTCGCAGACCATTGAGCCACTGGGACCCGATCCAATGGTCCTTGAATTCTAATTTCTGCCAATTCACGACGTAGCGCGACCACTTCGCGATGTCTTCTTCGATGAGTTACTGCCTCATCTTCAACCTGCTGTACGCTACTGGTCACGGCTTCCCACTAGAACCCCCAGGTTAACTGCCTGAATAAGGCCAGTCACTGGTGAGCATCAGATTAATTTTCAAGTATTGGTTTTGTAGGGATTTTGTTTGATTACGTGAAGGATTTCATCATAAGCTGACATCAGTTAGAGAACCACATTTCAGACAATTTCTTCCATTATGGCACTGACTATAGAGTAATTTTTTATTATTTTAGAAACCACCTCTGATTAATTGTATCAATTATGTCACCCCCTCTACCACTCAAATAGTAGATTACTTACCACACTTTTTTGATAAATATAAATACGACTTTCAAGTATTGTTTCTTTTTGTAGGGATATTATTTAATTGGTTGGAGGATTTCATCATGGGCCATTGGATCGGGTCCCAGTGGCTGAATGGTCTACGAGCTCGCCTTGTAACCAGAAGGTTCTGGGTTCGGATCTCGATGAGTGCGTACTGCTGAAGAGTCCCAAACTAGGACTAAACAGCTGTCCAGTACTCCCGGGTTTTCCAGTGGTTCTCTAACTGATGTCAGCTCATGGTGAAATCCTCCATGCAATTAAACAAAATCCCTACAAAACGAATACTTGGAAATAATTCTTGTATCACTCCTTTTGTTACTAAGGGAGACTTTTTTGTCCTTCTTCTTTTTATCACTATGTTCATCTGTCTAAAATTCTATCCTTATTTATCCATGAGAAAACACTCATCTCACTTGTCGTCAGACTAGACGTGAATATTATTTTCCAATGCAATTAATTATTTTCACGTAAACATATTTTTAGTGGGTCAATCAGTCGAAAAGATAGAAAGAAAATTGTCGCCATTTTTCTTTTGTGTATCTTGTGAATCAATGTCCTTATGTTCACTAAGAAAGAAAAAGAACTTAAAGGATTTAGTTTGATTTTGAGTGTGAAGGGTAGGATAAAAGTACACAATGCTTGATTTTAAAGGTGTAGGTGGTTGGCTTAAGCGATAATTAGACTTTAAGACAACAGATTCTAAGTTCAGTTCCCCCTTACGTGTTTCGGCGCAGAGGACGTGTATAATTCTATGCTGTCAGTCACAGCCTACATAAGCGTAGCTTAGACGCTTACTAGCGAAATCACTTATTTTCACTATTCGTCACTGTATTTTAAGTTTGTAACGGTAGTTTTGTAGAATATTATATTTTAAACGATTGAGTCGTAGTACAGTTGTACGAACCTACCTTCTCACAATAAAAAATGACTTTCGTTGTTGTTTTTTTGGGTGCTGTTTTCACTTTTACAAAACTACTAATATATTAACCAAGTAAAAGTATCAGCTGAAGTCAAGGTCTGTGAGGAGTTGACCTTGAGTGTAGCCAATCAGCTTTAGAGAACACTACGAAAGGTCATTCCAAATCAAATCCTGCCTGTCTTTATGAATTTGGTGCGGATACGTACAGTAGTTTACCTACTCCTTAGGTACTTTTTCTGTGAATCTAGATTATTAAGTAAGGTTTAACGTCAGCATTATAGTTCCTGTTAGGTTGAAGGACAGTGTCAGGAAAAGGAGTGGATCTGAAAGTGGTACAACCTACAATCACCTGGGTATTTTATATATTTAGCACATGTTATGATTTCTCTATAGATTATGCTTTCAGCAATTGGGAGAAATTTTCACAACACAGTCATCCAGTGTAATGTTATGTTTGGAATGCTACTTAGCAAATTATTTCATTACGATTATACAGATTTCTGTATCTGAATTCTGACTGATTGTTCGACGTCACCGTGATTTCGACCATGATAGTTTCATTTTACCCTGCTATTCATTTCTCCATGGGCTTCATTTTGCTGTCTAACATACAATGGGGATTCAGTAAATACAATTAAAAATGACTCAAATATATGTGAACATCTTAAGCTGTGTGTTTGTTGTGCACTTTTCTTGGATGTTGTTTTGGCTTCTCCCAGTGTGGATATATCGGTGCTAAATTGAGTCAAATATTCCACGCATATATATTTGTTGGTATTATCTACCGCTCTGATAATACTATCTCTTGTATAACTTGGTTATATATAAAAACACAATTAAGTTGATAGTCACCAAGATAGTCTGCCCTTACTCACCTCCATATAGTCTAGCATCACTGAAAGTTCTCTATGAAAGAATGCAATCTACACAAGTTGTAAAGAATTAGAGATTCTATAATATTTCACTTAAACTGATAGAAGCTCAAAAATAAACTCAACCCTACTGAACTTTGAGTAGATGGGCATTCAGCTATGAAAGAAATACAAACTGAGTGTACTTAATGGACACTTTAGACATATTACTTTGGTTACAGGATTTCATCATAAGCTGACATTGGTTAGAGAACCATTGTAAAAACCTACAGGGAGTACTGGACAGCTGTTTCGTCCTAGTTTGGGACTCTTCATCAAAACACACCCACCACCACACGGGTTTGAACCCCAGGACCTTCTGGTTACAAGGCTAGCGAGCTCGTAGACCATTAAGTCACTGGGATCCAATCCAATGGCCAGCTCATGAATTCTAACTTCAATTCTGTCTGTGTCTGTCTGTTTTCGACATAGAACTTTGCACAAATGTGCGGAAGTTCAAGTCGCCACACTCCGTGTAGCACGCGAAGCAAGAGAAGAAAGTACAAGAAAAGCATAAAAGAAACAGTGAGCAGAGGTGTGAGACAAAGGAGTAATAGAGAAAAACAAAACAGTTTCATTGGAGATCATAAGTCACAAGGAGTGGATGCATCTGCACCAACCACTGAGAACGATTTTGAGCCATGTCACCAATTGTTTCCAACCATAGATTTTTACCGTCCCGAGGACCCCAACCAGTCAGGAAGTATACACCTTCCTACGTGGCTTAGACCAACTGTTGTGGATTGTGTTGTGCCAATTCACAACATAGCGCGACCGCTGGCCAATGTCTTTGGCGAGTATTTGTCCTGGCACGCGACCTGCTGCACCCTACTGGTCACGACTTCCCAGTCGCCAATGAGCATCTCATTGATATTCAAGTATTGGCGGTTGCGCTATATCGTGAATTGGCAGAAGCTAGAATTCGTGAGCTGGCCATTGGATCGGGTCCCTGTGGCTTAATGGTGTACGAGTTCGCCTTGTAACCAGAAGGTCCTGAGTTCTAACCCCCTGTGGTGGCTGCGTACTGCTGTCCAGTACTCCCTGTTGGTTTTCCAATGGTTCTCTAACCAATGTCAGCTCATGATGAAATCCTGTAACCAATCAACCAAATCCCTACAAACCAATATTTCAAGATATTACTTTGTTTGAGAAAAATTCTAGGATGATAGCACTTTTACACAGTTAGGGAAATAACTTTTTATATTTACTGTAATCGCATATGTTTCAAATAAGACGTTTCATTAAGTATGTTTTGTTCAATGTTATGTTGTATCATCACATGAATATCTATTGTTTGCTATGCTTTATAATAGAATTATTATCGACATTTCCCTAAATATATTTGCGTATATATAGTATACCACATTTATTTCACACAATTTATTGACTTTAATTATTTCCGATGGCTTTTTTGTATGTTATTGGTTGATTTCATAATGTCCTTGAGGCATTATCACATATGTACTTTACTATTTACAATGGACAAACGCACATACACACACACACACCCAATGGACTAGGATCAATAAGTCAAGGAGAAATTTATCAAGCTTTGATTTTTTTTCTTTCTTTATTAATTGAAGCTTTTAATGAGATAAGAAAGAATTGTGATAAGTTTTTCTTTTTTCGATCAATCAGTTCAATTCATTCAAAAGAAAAGTACAACTCTGTAGAAATTTTTATTTCTTTTGGAGATAAGAGGGTGAGGAGCCGTTAAATAAAAGAGAAAATTTATATACAATCCATTTATATTTGAACTAGTTTTCTAACAACTTCTGTGTACACGAAGTATTTTGTGAAGATGAGGAGGACTGGGCAATAACTTACGGGCTAGAAATAATAATTAGATGAGTACATGTGTACTGGCGTTAGTCTCAGAATATATATAAATTCCTCATTTGTTATTATTATTATTATCCCCTTGGGGGTTTCTGAGTGGGATATAGAGCTTCAGCAGCACATCTCTGCACATTGTGCAAATATTCCACGTCTCTATTCTTATTTTTGCTTCCATCGAAAGAAGACACATTGACTGACGACTGGTTTCCTAAAGGCTTTCACCAGCCCGCATCGTTTTGTCTCTCCGAAGAAAAAGTTTGTCTGTTATATTTCTCTTGTGCTTTGTAGTTTCTCTAGCGATTGGATTGATTTTCCAGGGTAGGGTCTCTAGCCCTATGATATATGTGTGATTTCCGACAAACTAGAAGATATGCAAGTGAAAAGCAGAAAAAGCATCAAAGATAGGACTTCAGGTGAACATAGAGAAAACAGAGCTAGGTGATGAAGATTCCTGGCCAACACCAACAGCAACAACAACAACAGAGAACACTCAGCATAAATGGGAAGAACCTGAAAGAAACAGCCTCCTTCACCTACCTGGGAAGCATCGTTTCAACTACAGGCGGAACTGACGAGGATATCAAAGCCAGAATCGGAAAAGCAAGACAAACTTTCATTACTCTCAAATCTGTGTGGAGGTCAACAGCACTCAGCATCAAAAATAAAATCCAGACTTTCAACTCCAATGTGAAGTCAGTTCTACTTACTGTACGGAACAGAGACTTGACGCGTCATAAAGAGCATCTTAAACAAACTACAGACCTTCATTAACAGTTGTCTTCGCTCAATAGGGATGGATCTCTGGCAATGAGCGAACCAACCAGGAACCGATTATGAAACAAATAGGCAGGAAGAAATGGAGATGGACTGGCTGGGCATACTCTGAGAAAACCATCAAGTGACATCACTAGACAAGCCATCGCTCGAGTGGAATCTGAAAGGGAAGCGGTGGAATAAAGTGATTATTATTATTATTATTAAAGGGAAGCGGTGAGTCGGTCGTCAGTGCAAGGGTGACTTTGAGGAGGTCATGTGAAGAGGAGATGAAAGCATGTGGGCAGACTTGGAGCGGAGTGAAAAAGTTGGCAGAAGACAGAATGTAATGGAGGCGCGCAGCTGAAGCCCTATGTTCTTCTAGGAATTAAAGGATATAATAATAATAATACCCAAACCCCACCCCTTTTTCTCCGTGCATGAGACCGGTTAGAAAACTTAGTGAGCCACTAAACTAGGCAAGGTTACAAAATTCTTCATACCGATATAGAAATTGGATTGTACTGTAGCTGTCGCAATAATAAACGTCTCCAGTCGCTTCTACTTGCTAACTGAATGATTGATTACCATCACTCACGTATTAAATATGCATAATTACAATTCACAAGGGATTTATATGCAAGTGAATACAAATTATTAAGATATGAAGTTGAATTAATAATAATAATGCATAAAATTCAACCTTGCCTATTAGCAAGTAGTCAGGTGATCTCTCTCTTGAAGAAGAAGCAGAAATGCGTAAACCTTTTTGATTGATTAACTGGAAATATTTTTGGGTTTTTAAATCATAATCTGGTTTTGTAAGAGATGTGATAAAAAAATGAAACCAATGAACATGTATTAATAAAGGCCTCATTATCCAAATCACAACTGATTGATTTCTAAAGAAACAGGCATCAAAGCATATTCTATTTTATTAGTTTTTGTAAAAAGTTTTGTTCAATTATACTCTTTTTTTTAAATAAAAAATATATATGAGTGGAACAAAACGAGCCAAATTGAAGTAGATACACATCGGTGAAATCTGAGTATATGCTATGCTATGCTAAAAAAAGTACATCTGAACTTTTTCACCCAGTTTTCGATTAGCCTTTGCCTTCTGTAGATCACATACGTTTTGTAATAGTGTTTCATCCATAGAAAGTATAGCTGTGTCATGAATCCAAAGATATCCTTAACTATGCCAAATTTTAAAGCAGTTCTGTAGCATATATATACTGCTTAGATTTTATGTTTCTTTCAACCTTAAATTTAAAACACCACCTTGTTTTTATGGTGACCTAAATTTACCATATTTCCTAGAGTAAAAGTAGCAAAATAAGTAAAAAGGAAGTTTCCCCTACATCTTTGCTTAGTAACACCCTATTTACCATGACCTTATTACGTCACATGAGGAAAAAGAGGTCACAACGTATTTTAATAAGTAATTCCACCAGCTGACATTCATAAGTATCTGTAAGGCCTAAAACTTAAGTTTGGGTTAGACTTTAAGAATTCACATACCATTTGTCGCCTCTTGTGTATCTACCAATTTAAGCGCGCCTGTGGAGCCAGTTACATAGGCCGTACAATTAGGTGTGTTTCTCGTCGGATTTCCGAACATCACCCTGAATAGTGGTTAAGCAAAGGACAAACAAGATCCATTCGTAGCGCTATTCTATCTCATCTTGTGGATACAGAACACAGGATTGATGTCAACGAGGCTTTCAAAGTCACTTACCGCACATACTAACAAATCTTAACTTCGCCTGAAGAGTTCGATTACTAAATATTGCTGAGGCTGTTGGGTTCCACATTAAGAAGCCTAATTTATGCCTCCGAAAGAAGCTAGTTCAGACATTATCCTTACCCCACTGGCCATCTAGGTATGAATGATCCTCAATTTTTGTGGAAATTTCCCTAATTATAGTTGATATTCTATTTGCCGTTATATCTTTATTATTATTATTAGTATAATTTATGCATCTTTAATGAACTGTAATTCCATTGATCTTATTTAAAAAACGCCAATATTGTCATTGACTACTATTCTGGAATATTCTATGTATATAAACAGATATAATTGTAGAGCCAGAAGAAGAAATTATCGAAAAGGATATTCTTTGCTCAATTATTTTGTGAATTTTCGGTCGGCTTGCCTAGGTGTCTCTAATTCGGAAAACGTCCCCTTAATGGTGATAATCAACTGATGAATATATGTGTTGCGCCTTATTAGAGAGTTTTAGGAAAAGAAAGAGTACTTTATTATTATTACACACTGATATAATTTACGCATATCTGACTACTAAGGGGACTTAAAGATATTTCCATTAGCATATTAAAAAGTTATATCGTGAAAGGAATTCCAGACGTCGAGTAGTACTATACAAATATCTGTAAAATTATAGTTTCAAGGAAATAATTTAAGAAGTGACGACATACACTATCGTAATATGAATGATAATTGAAGTTGAAAAAAGCTTGGGCGATTGGTTCCCGTATAACTGTAATTTAGATCTCTGTTTTAAACTATAACAAGTTAAGCCTACCTGATCTAATTTCACCGATAGTGGGTTTCAATATGTAAAAGTAATTTGATGTAATTATTATTTAAAAATAGTATTATTGTTTGTGTAGAAATTATCTTTGAACATGTACTAAGTTTTGTTTTTCATTTCCCAAAAATTTCACCCCATTATCATCTTTTATTGTTTTGTGCGTTAGTTCATTTCAGTAATTTTCGTTAACAACTGTTTACTAACTCCTTCTTTCAGCTGTACATGTATCAATTGTTTCGTAGTCTGGCGTACATACATCACAAGGGTATTTGTCATCGAGATATCAAGCCACAAAATTTACTTTTAAATCCAACTACTGCTGTTTTGAAATTATGCGATTTTGGAAGGTTAGTTTATAACAAGTTATGCTTGTGCATATTATGTCAAGATTTATTCCTATTGTGGTGTTGGATAGATAAACGCATGATTCAATTTTAGAACACACAGAAGGTTCGGGGTTCGATTCCCTGTCAACATATTCTTCAACCTCGTCGTAGTTTACTAGCCGTTGATCAGAAACTGGATGATTTGACCACCGGATACACCTCTGATGGCTTTGGTGTTAAATGAGCGAAACATCTGGTCTGTGTTTAAATCACTTTGATTTGGCTAACAAACACATGGTTCACATTTGATCGGTGTACAACTACTCATTTCAACTAGTCAGTAGTATATAGTTCTACTCAATTATTTTTGCTTTCATGATTACCATTCATCATATCAAGCAGATCACACATTGGAATCTGTCTGTCTGTTTTCGACATAGAACTTTGCACAAATGTGCGGAAGTTCAAGTCGCCACACTCCGTGTAGCACGCGAAGCAAGAGAAGAAAGTACAAGAAAAGCATAAAAGAAACAGTGAGCAGAGGTGTGAGACAAAGGAGTAATAGAGAAAAACAAAACAGTTTCATTGGAGATCATAAGTCACAAGGAGTGGATGCATCTGCACCAACCACTGAGAACGATTTTGAGCCATGTCACCAATTGTTTCCAACCATAGATTTTTACCGTCCCGAGGACCCCAGCTTGGAAGTCTACACCTTCCTACGTGGCTTAGACCAACTGTTGTGGATTTCATTGACTGGTGAAGCCATGTTTTTGTTTGACCGCCGCTAGCTTTTTTCCAGCCTGACCCTATATCCGCTAACATTGCTCGTCGAGGGAGGCGATGGCTTGGCATCTGTCTGTCTGTCTGTCTGGATTCAACATAGAACTTGGCACCGAAGTGCAGCAGTTCGAGTTGCCACGTTCCAAATAGCCCACAGAGGTAGACAAGAAGATGAGTGAAGAGAATTAATAGAGTTTGACAAGTATAAGAGTGAAACAGAATGGGTAATGGTAGAAAGGAATATGAAAGATTACAGAGACTGAATACATCTGCGCTGGCCATTGACAACGATTTTGAGCCATGTCACCTATTGTCTCCAGCCATTGATTCCTAGAGTCCCGAGGGCCCCAACCCGGGAGTCTGCATCTCCCTACCTGACTCAGTTTAACTGTCAAGGATTTCATGGATTGATGAGGCCATGTTTTTGTTTGGCCACCACTGGCTCTTTTCCAACCTGAACCTATATCAGCTAGCAAAGCCCGTCGGGGGAGGCGGTGGTTAGGCATGCGCAGCACGTGACCTAGCCATCTTAGTCTATGTAACTTTATAGCCTCGTCGATTGATTTTCCCTCTTTGCCCAACACTCTACGCCTAACATCAACATTACTTATCTTGTGAAACCACCTAACGTGAGACAGAGATCGCAGACATCTATGATCGAAAGCAGTCAACCTTTTCATGTCTTCAACGCGTATTGGCCATGTTTCAGAGCCATAGAGAAGGACGGAGCGAACTGATGAGCAGTACACACGTCCCTTGGTTGATAACCGGATGTCACGCCTACGCCAGAGATGGTGTAAGTCAGCGAAAGCAGCTCGAGCTTTTCGGATCCGTGCTGAGATTTCATCGCCAATCAGTCCGTTGGTGCTAATACAACTTCCCAAGTAGGTGAAGTGGTCAACATGTTCTATCACTTCCCTCCCTATCACTAAGTTAGGGGTTGACGTGGTCCAGTCCTGTAGCAGCATCTTACATTTTGCAGGGGCGAATCGCATGCCAAACATACGAAGATTGCTGCTCAAGGTGTTCAGAAGACTCTGCATTTTTTCAGCATCCTCCCCTAACAGGACTATGTCATCTGCATATTCTAAGTCCATAAGATTATTCCCTGGTAACAAGTCGATTCCTAAGTCACTACGTTCAGTTAAGGATACTTCCATTAGCATATCTATGATGAAGTTAAACAGAAATGGGGAAAGTGGACATCCCTGTCGGACACCACTGGTTGTTACCAATTCAGATGACAATTCCCCATAAGCCCTTACACGACTACGTGAGTTTGAATAGAGTGCCTTGATTAGTGCAACGTACTTTCTTGGCACTCCCTTCACAGTCAGACATTGCCATAGTACCTTTCGATCCACTGGCTTGGCATACGTAACACATGTCCTAACCATCTCAGTCTTTGTAGCTTCACGACTTCGTCGATTGATTTCCCCTGTTTATCTAGAACTCGACGCCTAACCTCCATGTTGCTCACCTTATTATGCCACTTTACACGGGAAATAGAGCGCAGGCACCTATGATCAAAGACAGCTAGTCTTTTCATGTCTTCCACTCTCAGTGGCCAGGTCTCACAACCATAAAGGAGGACGGAGCGGACTGATGAGCAGTACACCCGCCCTTTGGTCGATAGTCGAACATCTCGTCTACGCCAGAGTCGGCGTAAACTGGCAAATGCGAAACGAGCCCCCTTGTATTCGTGCTGAGATTTCGTCAGAGATCAACCCGTTGGCGTTGGCTGATGGTACTTCCCAAATAGGTGAAGCGGTCAACGTGCTCTACCACTTCACTTCCTATTTTTATACTAGGCGTCGATGTAGTCCAGTACTGTAACATCATCTTGCATTTGGCGGGAGCGAATCGCATGCCAAACATTCGTAGATTGCGGCTCAAGGTGTTTAGAAGACTGCATTTCGTCAGCGTCTTCGCCTAGAAGGACTATATCGTCTGCATATTCTAAGCCAACGAGATTATTCCCTGGTAGCAAGTCAATCCTTGAGTCGCTGAAGTCACTCAGGGTTAAGTCCATTAGTACATCTATGATGAAGTTGAATAGAAAAGGGGATAATGGGCATCTTTGACGGACACCACTAGTCGTCACCAGTTCGGATGACAGCTCGCCGTAAGCCCTCACCTGGCTGTATGAGTACGAGTAGAGTGCCTTAATCAGTTCAATATATTTTCTCGGAATTCCCTTTACAGCCAAGCATCTCCAGAGAACTTCTCGATCGACAGAGTCGAATGCTGCCTTTAGGTCAAGAAATATAATGACTTTGAACAATGCAAGAACTACAGTTTTAGCAGAATAAAATGGTACCATCTTTTATTTCGTTGCCTTCTCGTCAGCTGCTAACAGACCAAAGACATTATTAAATATATCTACAACAACAATTTTAACATACTTGCACAGAGTTAAGTTTAAACAAAAATCAATCGATCAATACACACATACAGTAATATATATATACATATATAAATATGCAATATTAACCACTATTCCGAACAATAATAATCAAACATAATGGAAATTTACATGTATCTGCGGGAGCAGTTACTTTGGAAGGGCAGAAAGAAGGGCATATCTACGATTTTCTGAACATGTACCAAAAAGCTTACGTCTAAAGGGAACAAATGCTTTAAACAGTGCCATCACCAGGCATCTTCTTGACACGGGTCATGAGGTGGACGTTGAAAAGTCGTTCAAAATTATCAATAAGCAGAATAGCTCAATTCTCCTTAAGTTTGCTGAAGCCATTTCCATCAAGCGCCTGAAACCTGATTTATGCGTCCAGAAAGAAGCGGTTATCAGCCTTTCTTTGCCCTGGTAACTGGATAATTTCACCTCTCTTTCCTCCGAATGTGAAATGCTAAAAGTTTCCATTGTGTTTGATTATTATTGTTCGGAATAGTGGTTAATATTGCATATTTATATATGTATATATTTTTAGTGTATGCGTATATTGATCGATTGATTTTTGTTTAAACTGAACTCTGTGCAAGTATGTTAAAATTGTTGTTGTAGATATATTTAATAATGTCTTTGGTCTGTTAGCAGCTGACGAGAAGGCAACGAAATAAAAGATGGTACCATTTTACTCTGCTAAAACTGTAGTTCTTGCATTGTTCAAATTCATTAAGGGGAATAAATGTATGAAATATAATGACTGTTGGACGCCGATAGGAATACCTATGTTCTAGAAACTGTCGGAGGGTGAAGATATGATCAATACACCCTCTTTCTGGTCTAAAGCCTGCCTGGCTCTCTCGTGTTTGTGCCTCCCGAGCACCACTTAGTCTACACATGATTATTGAGCCGTAGGACTTTAGATACTATATTAGTCAAGCTAATCCCTCTGTAATTATCACAGGAAGACTTGTCTCCCTTCTTGTATATGGGGATAATCAGTGACTTACACCAACCCGATGGGACTTCTTCTGATTCCCAGACGCTGCCTAGTACCTCAGTTAATCCGGACAGTAAGCTGTCTCCACCGTACTTAAATACCTCTGGAGTCATTCCACTCATTGGAATCTGAATAGTGTAGGTTTCCAAAGGGAACACCATGGTAGAATTTCACCTGGAACAACTGTCTGTCTGTTTTTGACATAGAATTTTGCACCGATGTGCAGCAGTTCAAGTCGCCACACTCCATGTAGCACACAAAGCAAGAGAAGAAAGTAGAAGAAATACATAATATAGACAGTAAGCAGAGGTGTGAGACAAAGGAATAGTAATGACGAAGTGGCATATAGTTTCATTGGAAATCATAAGTCACAAGGAGTGGATGCATCTGCGCCGTTGAGAACTATTTTGAGCCACATTGCCGATCGTCTTCAGCCTACTTTGGTTTTTACCGTCTCGAAGACCCCAACCAGTCATGAATTCTACGCCTTCCTTCGTGGATGGTTTAAACTAACTGTTGATTGATGAAGCCATATTTTGGTTTAACCGCCACCAATTCTTTTCCAGTCTGACCCTTTGTCACCTAACATTGCCGATAGGTCGAGGACGACGATGAGTAGGCATACGTAACACATATCCTAACCATCTCAGTTGATGCGATTTCATAGCCTCGTCTGTTGATTCCCCTTCCTTACCTAGCACTCGACGCCTAACCTAAGCGGTTAACGTGCTCTACCACTTCACTCCCTATTTCTAAACTAGGAGTCAGTATAGTCCAATCCTGTAACATCATCTTACATTTGGCGGGAGCGATAGCAGCTACCTTCAACAACTGTGTAAATTACAAACTGATTTGCTAATTGCAAATCTGCTACGCAGCCGTTAGTAGTAGTTAGCAGTAAGCCCAGAAAAGAGGAAAGACTGGGCATCAGGCTATCAACACCACGATTACTGAAATTTAAAAGCCCAAAACTCTCTCTTCTTCAGCTCGGAAAGCGCAGAATAGAGAAAATTCAGTGTTGTATAAATATTTTTGCTTATGTGAAGTATGACAGAATTGTAAACTGTGAGATAAATTGCTGAGGTCATTACGGCTGATAGTGGTAAACTGAGTTTTTGTCACATGACTAATTGGTTGAATCGAAAAAATTTCTAACGATTGCAATCTGTTAATGATTACCATATGAAATGCGGTGTGCAATTGAATGTGCATTTCAAAATAACCAGAAAAATATGCATCAAGCAGGTTGTTTCTAAATAAAAATAGAACGTGAACAGCATAGTGGCGTAGAATCCCATTACAAGAATCACTTAATTGATACATTAAAAAAATTCCTTTACATTTCCAGTGGGACATAGGGCTTCAAGCTGGAGGTGTGAAGTTTGGGTAGCTGTGGTGGGGTTGCTAGCCTCATGCCCATCCTTCCCTCTTTAAAAGTTTTATTACTGACTTAGCGAGGTAAATGAGTGCTTTGGCGGCCGGTGATCGAACCCCGGACCACATAAAGCGTGGTTGGTGAGCATTTTATCACTAACCCACCAATGCTTGATACAAAATAGTGATATATTATTTATTAACTACTCACTGTTTGTGGAAGTGATTCTTATAATACAATAGAGCATATAGTTTTCTATATAGGCTTCTGGTTCTGCCTGATGAGATACAAGGGGAGTTGTGAATGAAGAGGGTGGCGTGAGTTGAATAGAATGGATTTAACCCATTTTTCACATGAGTCCAAGTGCCTGTCGACCAGAATATTAACAAGCTGGTTAAGTAGCACGTTGCTTACCCTGCTGACAACCTCTGACATCCTACGTAATAAGGTATAGTCTTTCTTCAGTAGCTCTGGAAAAGCTTAGGGGGATGTCGAGATTTTTTATTTAGTCAGATATTATCAACCTTCGTGTAATTGATGTGATACACTATCAAAACTGCCCAGATGTGCATATTATTGTTGAGAAATATTTTATTATTTTCACTCTACGGAGTTTTTAATAACTTCCTTTCAAAATAAAAAGAGATATTTTTGACTAAAAATCAGACGTTTATGAGTATCTATATTCAGATAATATTTGGTAGTTGTGTGAGTTGTGTTGTCATGTGATCTGCGGAATATTCATGTTCATTATGCTCGGTGATGATGATGTATTCTTTAACTAATAAACCATGCTGGTATTTATTTCTAACGTGCAAGCCTTCAAGCCTACTTATATGCATTGATTCACCACAGACAATATGTCATAACTGAAGCCATACGTTTTGTGTTGTAATTCCTGTGTACTATTTTTATTTCTTAGCTTTATTCGCCTCTAAAAATTTCATATGTTTATTTTATAGCGCAAAGGTATTAGTTCGTGGTGAACCCAATGTCTCTTACATATGTTCCCGCTATTACCGAGCTCCTGAACTAATATTCGGCGCTGTGGATTACACTTGCCAGATTGGTAAGCTGGTTTTCTGTAATAAAAAAAAATAAATGAGAATGTTTCGATAATTCTTCTTTCGAAGATTTATTTTCGCATAGATTTACATAATCAATGATAGTAAGATTATTGATTAGTTGTTGTTACAACCCGTGATCATTCTAGGCAAACTGTGAGCGATATTACTGCGATTTGTGAATGGCTTACTTCTTACAAAAGTCCTTAATGAGCACATTAACCCGCATATAATTGTAGCTAACAAATCGTTGTAAACTATACTCTTGAAATATATAAGGGCTATGACGTACTGGTTTAGGCCCCCAACTTCCAAGGCCCTGAGTTCAATCACTGCTCCACCTACCGGGTTTTCGGCGTCCAAGTAGTATCACAAGCTTCGCACTCTAGGTGTGGCTTACTGCCATATTCTTGAACTGGTCATTCTTTATTGGAAATCAGTCAGAACTAAATAAAACATGATACGTCTTACCTTACCTGTACGAGTTTAATATGAATGACTTGAAGGTACGAACAGAAATAGACTGAACACTTTCCATACTTGATAAACGATACATAGTGTTGAGAAGTTAGTGATAATTTTGTCAATTGTAAGCAGACTACGAAAAGAGAAGTAAAATGTAATAATTTTATCAAGGATTGGTTATGATGTATGTACTCGACTATAAATGATTTTGGATCTTATTTTATGTAATCGTTTATTATTGACTTCCGTTACTTTATGGACCTCTTGTGAAAAGCTTACATGCTGTTCTTGAACAACAGCACAGGATAAGTAGGGATTTTATGAATATTCACTAAGCTTAACCAACCTGATACACCCAGTAATTAGCTTTTAGATTCTATGAATCATGAAAGCATGTCTTCATATTCAAGTATTGGTTTGTAGGTTTTCTAATGGTTCTCTAACCAATGTGAGCTTACGATGAAATCCTGTTAACCAATCAATCAAATCCCTACAAACCAGTACTTAATAAATATCGATGAGATGCTCACTGGAAATTGGCCCTATTCAGCTAATAGTTCTAGTGGGAAGTCGTGACCAGTAGGGTCGGACAAATACTCGCCGAAGACATTGGCCAGCGGTCGTGCTATGTCGTGAATTGGCAGAAGTTGGAATTCGTGAGCTGGCCATCGGATCGGGCCCCAGTGGCATAATGGTCTGCAAAGTTGCCTTGTAACAGGAAGGTGTCGGGTGCGCACTGCTGAAGAGTCTCAAACCTGGAAGAAACAGCCATCCGCTGCTCCCAGGTTTTCGGAAGGTTCTCTAACCGATGTCAGCTAATGATGTTAACCTGTAACCAACCAAAGCATTTCTTGCCTACTTATTACTTTATAAACGCTGCTGGTCTTTGAGATCAAGTGTATTTATTACTCATCGGCATTTTACAGCATTATCATAGATCTGTTCACTATTCTATATTTCAATTATATTTCATAACACTTACAGACGTATGGTCAGCTGGTTGTGTGCTTGCAGAACTTCTTCTTGGACAACCAATTTTCCCTGGAGAAAGTGGTGTAGACCAACTGGTTGAAATTATCAAAGTTCTAGGCACACCATCACGTGAACAAATTCATGAAATGAATCCTGATTATAGAGAATTTAAATTCCCACAAATTAAACCACATTCATGGTCCAAAGTAAGGAAAAAGAATAATGTTTCTTTACAAAAATATTATATATATATATATATCTTATGTCTAATTTTCTTTGCCAAAAATAATCACGTAATTCAATATGCACAACATTTCAATGCATAAATAGAAACCATCAGTGTGTTTGATCAGCCTATTTACGCTCAATAGAATGCAATGTATAGCTGCATGTTTGTTAACTAGATGAGCTGGGAAGCTTCTATGTTGTCTTTTTTAATATACCATGCTGATTATGATGCGTACTCAATTCACTAGTATAAAATAATGGGTTATGTAGTCAGTGGTCAGAGCAGTGATGATGAGTCCCCTCTAAACACAACGTGGGGGGAATAAAAGTTGAAAGTGAAAAAAAATCAATCAGTTACTTCACTAAATTGGTATTTTGATGATTGTGATGAGAATCGTTTATTAATTTGACGAAGTGCTCAAACTAACCATTAGGTTTCATTGGTGGATGGTGACTAGCAGTGGAATCCAGGATGCACATTTCGTCCTATTTGAGACTCGTCATCTGGATGTACCTGCATTTCTCAGTGAATGATGATGTCCTCACCGTGGCTCGAACCCAGTGCCCATAGTTTCAAACGCCTGAGAAATCAGGTACATCCAGCTGACCAGTCCCAAATAGGACGAAATGCGCATGCTGGCTGGATTCCACTGCTTGTCACGATCCACCAGTTAAATACTAACTAAATGCCCAGACATTGTCGAAGCATCTGCTTAAGAAGCCGACATTTCAACCTGAGACCGAGCACTTCGGTCCAATCAATCAACGGAAAAATCTCAAAGTCAATTAACCATTAGGTTGTCTAATTTTCTATCCAGCACATAATCCATGCAGTTACAACTTTAAGTCATCGTATGTATTGCTGCTCATTTTCAAATAATTTTCAACCTACTGCTCTACATTTTGTCTGAGAGAAAAATACAGTGGCGGTGACTGGGGTTGTGATTAAAATATGCTTCAAATCGAATGATATTACATTAAATGCCATATTTTTCATTATTACTTTGAATCTTGTTTTTATTTTACCCATTACAACAATTTTTTTTAAAACACCGATCCACTTCTTTAGTAAGTTCTAAGTGGATCCATTATAAATATCAACGTATTCTGAAAAACTAAGCTACTATTATTCAAGATAGTTAGTGGCTATCGGCAGGAAGTTTAGGGTACCTACGTTTTGTGCTTGCTGACACTTGTCAATTGTAAGGCCGAATAACTCAATGGTAACTTCTCTGATTGCATCACTGGGTAATACAGGTAATACAGGTTCGAATCTCAGAGGGTGGTACATGAGTTCCTTCAAGGTTACAGACACACGCCTTGCTGACTGGTAAATTCCAACAAACACGAAACCTAGGTGGTTTAAGGCTTGCTGCCGATTGCCTCCAACTAATCTAACAGCAAAAATTCAATGTGTGCACCGTGATGACGAGCCAGCTAGTATGATGACTACGTTGCAAACTTGACTGATAGAATTCAGTCTACACCAAACAAAGAACTAAACTTATGACATTAGTTACTTTCTAGTGAGTGTTCAATCGAAGTTTCAACGCGGAACTTTGCACAGATAGATGTGCACCAGTTCGAGTTTGCTACACACAAAGCAAGAGAAGGGGGTAAAGAGAGTTTCAAAAGAGACATAAACGGAGATATTAGGCAGAAAGAATAGTTATTTAGAGGGGGAATAGAATTTCATTGGATGTCATAAATCAAAAAGAGCAAATGCGTCTGCGTCAGCCGTTGAAAAAGACTTTTACTGGTAACATCAATTGTCTCCAGCCTTCATTGGTTTTTACCATCTCCCGAGAACCCCAACCAGTCAGGAAGCCTGTACCTCCCCAAGTGGCTTAAACTAACTATTGTGGATTTCATTGATTGATAAAACCATGTTTTGGCTTAATCACCACTGACTGTTTTCCAACTTGATCCTACGTCAGCTAACATTGCCCGTAGGTCGAGAAAGGCGACAGCTAGGCATACGTAACACATCTCCTAACCATCTCAATCGGTGTAACTTCTCAACCTTGTTGATTGATTTCACCCCCCTCCTTACCTAGCACTCAACTGAAGCCTAACCTCATTATTGCTTACCTTATTATCCCACTTAACACTTGGGATAGAATGCAGACACCTATTATCAATCAAAGTGTTCAAGAAAGATATCAACTTAATTGTTAGACATTTTTACCATTCGGTTGACCAATCACGTAACTATGTTAGAAAACTGAAACAAAGAGTCTCTTTGACTCTTGAACAATAACTATGAAAATATTGCATATCATTTTGCTAGATTCACTAGCAATATATGCATGAAATTGGATAGTTTGATGATTAGAATATTAGATATGCATTTCAGTTTTACGGTGGCGTGTTGTTTACGTGAAGGTATGCTTACCCGAGAATAATCATAGCGTATAGAGTGTATAGAGTGATGTAATTTATGGGCTTCAATTTACCTATAGTCCATGTTTTTTTTTATGTCACTTTTCATAAACGACTAATCACCTAACTGTTATTAATAAATAAAACAAGTAGCGATATAATAGCCTAGCCATATATATAGTAGTCACTAATTAAGTGAACATATCCAACTTTTCAAAAAAAAACTCTTACTTTGTTTATCTTCAACATCGGTGTATTGATAAAATCCAATTCAGGTTTGAATGGTACTTCGTCCTAATTTAAAATAAGACAATAATAAAAAATTTTCAAGTATTGGCTTTTTTAGGGATTCAATTGGGAAGCCGTGACCAGTAGGGTACAGCAGGTCGAAGATGAGACAGTAAATCATTGCAGAAGACATTGCGAAATGGTCGCGCTATGTCGTGAATTGGCAGAAGTTAGAATTCATGGACTGGCTGGCCATTGGATAGAGTCCCAGTGGCTGAATGGTCTGCGAGCTAACTCGCCTTGTAACCAGAATGTCCTGAGTTCGAACCCCGGCAGGTGCGTGTTGTTGAGTACTCCCCAACTAGAACAAAACAGCTGTCCAGTACTTCCTGTTGGTTTTCCAGTGGTTCTCTAACTGATGTCAGCTCATGATGAAATTCTCCATACAATAATAAAAAATGCACCAAAAAGTAGAGTAGTTTTGATAAAGAATATGAACTAAAAGTGTGTAGGTGATTCACTGGTAGAATACTCGCCATGCGTGTATGTGATCCGGGATCGAATCCCTGTTGATGCACTCCCTCAACCTCACTTAGCCGGTAGTAAGCCAGGTGATGACGAAAGGTTGGACATGAGGTTGGCAGTCCGTACTCTGTAAGAAAAAAAAAGCCCACTACTAACTGAAACTCCAGAACTCAAGCTAGAAGCTGTGGGTACTTCACTTGTGACACGGGAAAATGAAAAATAAAAGAACTAAAAAGTACTGACTTTGATTCACTATACACAAACTTCGACTAACCACTGGTAGAACGTGAGGATGACTACCAGACTGACGATTCAGGACCACATTCAATAACTCAATCAATAAATTTTTTTTTATATTTATACTTTTTTGATTACAGCTTGATTCCACACTGTATTTTTGGTACAAGTATGGAATTTTCAGCATGGGTATCGGTAGCCCAAATTTAGCAGGCCGACCATAGATATCAGGTATGCGTCGGTAGGGGGTCGAACCTCGGACTATGTTCATGGTCGGCGAGAGTCCTAACCACTGTGCCACCGACGCACATGATATTAGCTTCCACTTCTTTTGTTCAGTTATCGAAAAAATATTTCATTTCTCTAACTGATCCGTTCAAATATTAATGTCAACCAGTAAATTAATACATCAAGGTGGTATTCATCAATTTTTAATATAATATTTCCTTTGGATGGTTGAGGGCAATCAGCAGGAAGCCCTAGATTCAGATTTCGTGCGCTGTTTGGCAATCATCAGTAAAATGTATCTGAAACCTTTATGGGATTGATTTCTATTATGAGATTCAAACTCATTCCCATCAGTTAGTCCTGCAATCAGAGACATTACACTTGATCTATTTACTGACCTGTGTGGTTTCATTTTAAAAACTGTTGGCTATTTAACATTTCTGTTTAAATGTTCATCTAATTTAGCCAGTAATCTGAACCCTCCTCAATAGAGGCATGGATGTGTGTTGCTGGCGAATCCCAAACTGAGACGAAACATATTCGCTCTTTCAGCTGTTTGTTGTTTCCACACACTTCGAGGAGGGGTAATTCCTACAAATTATTGATCAAGTAAATGATAAAATACGCTTTCAAGAGCTAGTTTGTATAGATTTCATTTGTTTCAAATATGATCACGGATTGATATCAGTTAGAGAGTCCATTGAAAGTCATAGAGGACTGCAGAGCTGTTTCCTCCTAGTTTAGGGATTATCATCAGTACGCACCTACCGGGATTCAAAACCCAGACCTATCAACTACAGGGGCGAGCTAGCTCGTAGACCATTCAGTCACTGACTGGGACTCCAGTCAATGATCAATGAATTCTAACTTTTACCAATTCACTATTTTAGCGCAACATTTTTTATGGAAGATAATAATAATGATAATAATAATTTATGGTTTCCTAAACATAGTCATTAGTAGTTTGAATTGTTAACCTTTTCCTCTGATGTGGGTATTTCGAGATGAAATAAGTGAAAAAGATAATTAAAGAGGGATGTGCTCGAATGTCATATAGGTTGACATATTTGTTAATCCACTGAAAAGCAAGTGAACATCTCATTTATAGGAGAGAAAAAGTCAACTCCACTTATCATTATGTAGTATCATTTGTATACTGTCTGTCTGTCTGTCTGTTTGCGACATAGAACTTTGCACAAATGTGCGGAAGTTCAAGTCACCACATTCCGTGTAGCACGCGAAGCAAGAGAAGAAAGTACAAGAAAAGCACAATAGAAACAGTGAGCAGAGGTGTGAGACAAAGGAGTAATAGAGAAATACAAAACAGTTTCATTGGAGATCATAAGTCACAGGGAGTGGATGCATCTGCGCCACTGAGAACGATTTTGAGCCATGTCACCAATTGTTTCCAACCATAGATTTTTACCGTCCCGAGGACCCCAGCTTGGAAGTCTACACCTTCCGACTGCACTTCTACACTTCTACATCTCCCGACCGAAAGCTGCTACCTTGACATGGTGGTTGGGCTTGAACACCGCAATGATCTATTCAAGCTATACTAGCTGAGACTTATGTCTCTTGAGGTCCTACCATGCCAGGCAGGTTGTTTGGATAGCGGTTAAACAAAAAGCAGCTACCCAATCCAACATTATGATAAGTACAAAATCACAAAATTTCATGCCGGATCGGCCGTGGCCCGGATTAACAACGACCGCGCTTCCTGCTGCCGTGTCACAGGGCAGGAGTGATAAATATGCTACTGAGGCACACCAAACAAAAAAGAACGAACAAAAACAGGCCGCGTGTGACCTGCCTGAAGCAGTTGTCCTCTGGGCTCTGCGGTCACGCAACCAACTTCCACGGTGTGGGCAGACGGGAAGTAACAATCGCCCTCACAATCCGAAATTCGCACGAAACCTCTCTAATTCTCACTCATCTATGTCTTCATCTTCATCTCTATCATCTTGCCTTCCTTCCACTGATGCAACTCCTCGGCTTGATAGCTCTCCACTCTAATCATTTGTATACACCCACAAGTTACATCCAGCAAACGCATAGATTAACACTGAATTGTATAGAAAAGGTGTATAATTTTATATTCACAAAGGAAGAATGAGCAGAAGTACTAGGAAAAGTTTACAAAAGATATAAGACGAAGAAAGAGTAATAAATGTAGGTGAAATAGTGTCATAAACCTAGACACACCCAGTATATATTCAGATATGTATATAAATATACTAATGAAATCCTGCGGTTACTGATTCGTACTATTTTATCTAGATATTTAAGCAGCCTACATTATTATTTCTGCTTCAACGGGTTAAGATATCTGACTACTAACCAATGGATCATGGATTCAATTTCCACCTCATTGACTGAGGTTTGAGCATCTGGGGGATAGCATTGTCAACAGCCTCATATTACAGGGCTCGGGGTAATTTCTGTTCATGTGGAGAACTTGTTAACTTTGGTAGCATGAATCCCTATAATAGTATGTTTAATCAATATACATCACATACAGTGAAACAGTATTATTTAATCGACGACATTCTGAACACAATTTGTTGTTCTTAATCACAACACAATTATAACTACACAACTTCGAGACTTCATTTTCAAGGTTTCCTCCCTTTCTGCTTTCCATCTGTCCTGAGGGCAGCAGAATTAGCCAGATGTCCTGGACAGGTGTTGAACCATTCATATTACACATATTTTCATTTGATTCAACAGGTATAGCTTCAGTTATCAATGTCTCTCTCTACCTCTCTCTCACCCAACCTTGTTACATTAAATTTTAAAATTGTCACCTGATCCCATCTGCTGTTATGAGTGCGTGCAACTGCATATAGTGCTATAGTTGAACTATTCTCTAGATTTTTTTTATCTTACCAAGTCAACTAACCTAGATTTCGCTAGGCCTTAGCGTTCCGCTAGTCTAACTGACTCCGGAGTACTACTTCGACATCTCAATATCATTGGTAATTTGCGAATAAAGCAAACAGAACCAATAGTCTTGGCTAGAAAGCAAATACATGATGGTGTACCGAGTGGCATTCTAAATCTACTACGTAACCAGCTATCAAAAAGAGGCAAAATGTGAAATTTCAAAGATCAGTTGAGTTGTTTTGTTAGGTTGGCACGGACACTTGACTTTCAGCTGCTGATTAATGAAATCTAAGCGTATCTAGATGATATCGACTCTAGCATAAATCCAATATCTCTTAACTTTTATGTGTTTCAGGCTTACTTGGGCTTAAATTTGAAAAAAATGAGAGGAGAATATCGTTAGCTTTTTCATATATTAGTGATTATTTACAAGGTACGTTCTGTTGAATGTTTTGAAACAGAGAAGTAGTTACCACTCATTAGACCAAAGTACTTGTCAAGACGCATACGTATTCTTTATATTTATTATTCTCCCCTTAGCTTTGGAGTGGAAAATATAAGGCTGCAACAGTATATCTTCATTTCACATTGTTCTCTGAAGTCTTTTTTATCTGACCACACGATTGACAATTAGCTTTCATCTCCTCTTCATATCATCTCTGGACCAACGCCCAACTCGTCGTTTCCCATTCGGGTTTCACACGAGCGACGGCCTGCAACGTGATCTCATTCAACAGTCTCCTCAGCGTGTGTCCGATCCATCTGCATTTTCTTCCATATATCTGTTGAGAAATAGGTTCTTGGTTGGCACATTTCCAGAATTTCTTGTTGTTAATTATTTCTGGCTATTAGATCTTTGGTATGGAGCCAGCGAAGGGGGGGCGTTGACAAAATTCTACTACGGGCTGTTTGAAGTGCTTTTCGTGACATGAGTGCCAAGCTTCCGATACACATTAAAAATAACTGATTCACCTAACATTGGTATGAAAAAAATCCAAATCTCTTTCTGCGCATGCTGAGTGCAGAAGATTTCTAAACTGATCTCAGAGTGATGAAGGTTTACCTTGACCTTGCCTTTCAGATTTTGGTTTTGACATCGTCATTCGTGCCGACTGTAGTTAAAACGATGCTGACCAAATAAGTGAGCTTGTTTAAATTTTTTCCGTTGGTAGTGATTAGTGCTTGTTGTTGTTGGTTGGTTGGTTATCTTTATTACCTGCATCTTCTCTAGGTTCACTTGAAGTCCTATTTTTTTCACAATTAGTTTGATTCTAAGTGGATGTGAACAGACAATGGATGATATTCTGAGATAGACTGAAATTAGAAGTAGATCCAGGCAAATAGAACAACCATTAGTTCATGTTATCATCTCTTTTGTTCATATAGATGACACTTTATATACACAAAAAGAAAGCAGTTTCTAAGTGTTGGTTTGTAGGGATCTGGTTGGTTACAGGATTTCATCATGAACTGACATTGACTAGGCCTCGCGCTATGTCATGAATTGGCAGAAGTTAGAATTCATGGACTGGCTGGCTATTGGATCAAGTCCCAGTGGCTGAATCGTCTACGTTCTAACTCGCCTTGTAACCAGAAGGTCATGGGTTTTAACCCCGGTGGGTGCGTACTGATGAAGAGCCCGAAACTATGACGAAACAGCTGTCCAGTACTCCCTGTTAGCTTTTCAATGGTTCTCTAACCAATGTCAGCTCATAATGAAACCCTGTAAATCAGTTTTTAATAGTTTGCAAATGAAAATACCAAGTGTCACGTGAATATTACTACTGTTATGATTGAATGTTACTAAGTTGTGGCTATCGCCTAAACTTGACTAGAATGCACCTCTCCAGAACACACAACAATAAGCAACTGATCATCACTTGATGAAATTACCTCCCACAATGATATAGACAAAAAGTCAGAACGAAAAACTGACAACCGGAATGAAAACAACAATAACAACATTTATGAGACAAAAGCACATGGTATATCACCATATTTACGAAACTTCAGGAATTAAATCCATAAATTAACGAATCAAAAACTATCCAATCAGATTATCACATCAATATATGCCTTAATCATGACTTCATGGATAATAAAGAAACTTGTCAGTCCCAACAACAACAACAACAACAACTAAGAGAAAATGTGTCAGATAAGTTGAATCCAGTAGGAATATAACTTATTTTGAGGGGAAAATAAAAGTTCGCGTATGTGATAGGCAGACGAATTAGCAGGATTCAAATTCGACACAGTCTTTTCCGATGGTTCCTATCCCCAGTTATATTCTCATAGGATTGATAGATAAACTAAGGAGTGTTCATACTTTTTTATTTACACAAGAACTTCACATCATCATCGTATCAACGAGAATAAGACTAATTTTTATTAAACAATATGAATGAAATTTTAATTGAATTTTAGATTTTCCCGTCGATTGATTAGACCAACGAAGTGCTCGGTCTCACATTGACATGTCGGCTTCTTGTGGAGATGCTTCGACTATGTTTGGGGATTTAATTAGCATTTAATTAATGGGTGGTGACTAACATTAGGGGAATCCAGGATAAAGCGCATTTCGTTCTATTTGGGACTTGTCAACTGGATATACCTGCTTTGGCGTTTAAAACCATATGCACTGTGGGTTCGAGCTTTAATGGGAACATCATCACTCACTCACTCACTGGGAAATGCAGGTAAATCCAGCCGACGAGTCCCAAATAGAACGAAATGCGCGTTATCCTGGATTCCCCAACTGCTAGTCACCATCCATCAATTAAGTATGAATGGAAATCAACCTGTATACCACCGTCCTCTCTACAACAAGCTGGTCAAAAGTTAAAAAATATCCCACTTGTGAATACATAATTTCGCATATATTCAATAAATAAATAAGTAAAGAAAGAAAGAGTTCCAGTGGCTTAATGGTCTACGAGCTCGCTAACCTTGTAACCAGAAGGTCCTGGGTTCAAATCCCGGTGGGTGCGTACCGACGAAGAGTCCCGAACTTGGATGAAGTAGCTGTCTGGTACTCCCAGGTTTTCCAGTGGTTCTCTGATCAATGTCAGCTCATGATGCGGTGCGTCGGTGGCATAGCGGTTAGGACGCTCGCCGGCCATGCACATGATCCGGGTTCGATTCCCGGCCGCCAACGCACTATTCCTTTACCTCGCTAAACCAGAAATAATCCTGGTAAAGAGGAAAGGTTGGGCATGAGGCTAGCAACCCATCCTGTAAAGTAAACACTGCTACAAAAACTTCAAGCCACTAGCTTGAAGCTCTATGTTCCAATGGGGAACGTGAAGGAAAAAGAAAGAAAGAAATTTAAACCTGTCAACAAAATAAGACGAAAAATTTATCAAGTTTTAACACTAAATAACCTCGAGTGCATAATTTAAGAAAATAGAACCATACAGAGAATCAATAAGTAGAGATTTCTTTCTCTGTTATGTTAATGATAATACGAATATTATTGACCGTATATATATATGCACTATTAGGGTGATAAACTGATAGACGGTAATGGGTCAGTTCATCAAACACTATTCAGACCGAATATAAATAAACGCAGAAACCAGATATCATCTATTGATTAGACGTAGCAGGTGATATATATATTGTAGTGCTTGATTGTCTGTCGCACAAACACACATACACACACAATATGTGTGTTACACTATGCTGATAGACTAAGAATAAATACTTCGCTTCTGATTATCAAAAAAAAGAACAAAAATAATAATAAATATTTCTTTGAAAGAAAAAAAAGAAATATGCATAAAACTACCTTTAACATAATTTGTAATTCATAATTAGCCCATAGTTTATGCCAACAAATAGATTGTTCCAGTTCACAGTGTTCACAGTCAGGTGATGGGAAAATTGACTGACGAAGTTCTTCATCATTGACATTATCATCATCATCACCATCACAAACATTGTCGTCAGTCTTTTTAACAACCATCTTCTCTGGTGAAGTAGCGGGAGCAGCAACAGCAGCAGCAGACACAGTGGTATTATTACTATAATCAACACTGGTAATTGAAAAGTTAGCCAGAGATGGTGGAGGAGTCGGAGGAGGAGAAGATGAAAAGGATGTTGACGGTATACAATCGAATTGATTTTCATCAAAGAAAGATGTAATATCTATGATATTATAATCATATTTATTGAAATCTCCTTGTTCATTGTCAACTGTTGTTACCTCTTCATATTTCTCTTCAGGTTTTATGCGTTGATGAATAGTTTCAGGGGGGCGTTTATTAATAATCCACTGACATATTGGTATTCTCATCTGAAGAATAATAGTAATAATTAATAACAGAAATAATATTAGAGATAATAATAGTGTGGTGAGAGCTGTCTGCTAGCCAAAATCGGTAGACAGCAATCTACGTCAATGTTTGCATCCGAAATCTTGGTCATGAGAAAAAACAAGGACAAAACTTAACCTTGAGGAACCCAACGACCAATCACAGTAGACTTGAAATACGATTCGCAGATATATGACCTAACTTTCTAAGAAACGGCCAAAAAGAGATGACAGAATAACCTTCAGCATGAGAACAACCAATCAGAAGACGTTGCTTCTCTGCTATCAATGACGCTAATAATACTGTACATAAAAATCTATATTATCTGTTGGTTTTCTCAATAAACGATCTCTTCCCTGACAATTGTCTTCTGTTGTTACAGTGGTAGTTATAATATAGAGTGATTTTCAAGTGTTGGTTTGCATAATGAATTAAGTTTTCAGTTAGAGAACCTTCGAAAATCAAGAAATTCTTCAAGTTTGCAACGCATCAGGAGAATGCACCCAAGACCCCAAAGGCGATCGCACCCAGAATGTGTCTACTGGGTCATTTTCAAGTTTTATTTTATCACTTTTCGGACTTCCTCAACAATAATCAAGAAGAATACATATTGTGACGACTCTTATCAAGAAAACAGAAAGAAGTCATGTATATTTCAACTGATACGTTCTGAAAGAGAACGAAACATATTTAACTGGAAAAAATGTGATAAGAGAACAGATCTTATACAATAAGATGGATTCATTTACTTTTCATAAGCACTTTTTGTAACCAGCAAATATTGTCTTCACAGCCTTATTCAGGTTGCAATATAGCAAAAGTATTCATTCAGACATCCATGAAACACAAAATAATTGAGCAAAGAATATCCTTTTCGATAATTTCCTCTTCTGGCTCTACAATTATATATAGGTTTATGTACATAAAATATCCCAGAATAGTAGTCAATGACAATATTAGTGTTTTCTAAATAATATCGATTTGTAAAGTAAGATCAAAGCAATTATAGTTTATTAGAGATAATTAAATAATAATAATAGTAAAGATATAGCAGCAAATAGAATATCAACTAAAATTAGGAAAATTTCACAAAATTCAGCTTCGTGCCCTTGAAATACAAACGCAATCTGATAAAGTGCTTGGTTCACAGAGCAAGACCGATCTGCTCGGACGAATGTCATGATGAAAAAATGAATTATGTTATACGGTTCCTAAGTGAGAATGGTTATCCTGAAAAGTTTATTGATAAGAATATGAATCTAAAATGAAGGCAGCCCAAAGTACCAACAGTTCCTTAAAAAAGCCATATTTTTAAAAATGCAGTTCCTAGGGGACAACACATCAGCGCGATACTAACACAGAGCCTTAGAAATGAAGTGGTAAAAAGAGCATCCCTGCTGCTGAATTACACCGTCTCTTTAAAAGCACTCCTTTCATGCGTTCAAGAGTAAAAGACAAGCGGCTTAATTTCGCCTCTTCAATGTGTATCTACCAATTTAACTGCTCCTGTGGAGCCAGTTACTCACGCCGTACAGTTAGGCGTGTTTCTCATCAAATTTCCGAACATCACCCTACATGGTTAAGCAAAGGACAAACAAAATCTATTCGCAGCGCTATTATATCTAATCTTGTGTATACAGAACACAAGATTGATGTTAACCATGCTTTCAAGGTCATTCACTACATACCAGCGAATCTCGATTTTTCCTTAGGTGTTCGACTACTAAACATTGCTGAAGCTGTTGGGACTCATATTAACAAGCCTAATTTGTGCGTTCAAAAGAAGCCAGTTCAAACATTATCCTTACCTTGACCATCTAGGTTTGAATGATCCTCAGTTTTCGTGGAAATTTCCCTAATTATAGTTGGCATTCTATTTGCTGTTATATCTTTATTATTATTATTATAATTTAAGCATCTTTAATGAACTATAATTCCATTGATTTTACTTAACAAATCGATATTATTTAAAAGACACTAATATTGTCATTGCCTACTACTCTAGAATATTCTATGTATATAAACATATAAGTATAGTTGTAGAGCCAGAATAGAAATTTATCAGAAAGAATATTCTTTGCTTGATTATCTTGTGTTTTAATCGGGTTTACCAAGAGAATTAATTGAATGAAGGTCGATTTTGGCCTTTTCTGCATCTCTGACATCTTCAGCTTTTTGAACCTAGTTAGGCAATTAATTATACATGAAACAACCGTAATAATAAAAGCACAATAAACTGTTTAATTTTTTTTTCAGTTGTTCTCGATTGTATAAGCGAATGAATCAATCAGACAGCAGGAAATATTTTCATACTTCAGTTGAATAAAAAGAAGGACACACTAAAAATCCCTAATTTTACTATGTTGACAATAAACGCACCTCCCACCTCCACTTAACCCGGACTAAGATGCTACTTCTTCAGTAGTATGTCGAAAAAATGCCAAATTTCTCTTAGTGAATATATATATATATATATATATATATATATATATATATATATTCGTGAACGTTTACAAAACGTGAGTGAACACACATGAGTCAACTGTGCAATAAATCAAATGTAAGGGTAAGTGGAAATATAATTCCACAGAAGATGTAAAACACACACAGTATTGTGATAATTGGATAACGTTTTAAGGACGATTTGTTGCTTATAATTTATATCAATGCAATCACAAGACTCGATAACGTGTCTTACTCTATCTGATGTATTTTTTATTGTAATTTTCCTTATATATCGGGTGGTTATCGTATTATTTCGACTGGAAGTATTTGGAGTTGATTCGATGAACATAGATTCGGTGGTTGACCTCTCATTCTCTGTCTCTCTCCCCCTTCCACCTAACTATATTACTTTTCAATACTTTCACTCTGCCTCACTCTATTGTGTTATTACATGCAAGTGAATGCATTGCAATGACTGGGTATTATAATGACTACATTATTTAACTTATCGGGATCAGTTACCATAAATCTAACTAAATTTCTATGTTCTCATAGTCCAACTAACTCCGATATATTGACCTGACCTAATTAGTTGACCGTGCATCGGTGGCACAGCGATTAGGACGCTCGCCGACCATGCACATGGTCTGGGGTTCGATCCCTGGTCGGCACACTCCTTTACCTCGCTAAGCCAGTAGTGAGACTGGTAAAAAAGAGAAGGTGAGGCATGAGGCTAGCAACCCCATCCTGTAAAAAAATAAACACTGCTACAAAAACTTCAAGCCTCTAGCTTCGAGCCCTATGTTCCACTGGTAACGTGAAGGAAAAAAAATTAGTTGGCCCTATAGTTACTAAAAGGTATTTGGTAGATCACATTATTTTTTTTCCTCATTGCATCCATCGAGTCCTTATACCGATAAAATTCACCTCTCAGTAAGTTGGTTGGTTTAAATGCCATCCTAGTTATGAATCCCTACGTGTAGGTATTCTGATTTCCCTTATTTATTTATATATAGCAATACTAACGAGATTTTGAATACCTTATCATTTAGCTTATTTTTATTATGTAATTTTTCAGACTCTCAACATGTAATAATTGAACATATTTACGAAAAAATTATTGTTTGTTTCGACTATACTACTGAATTTACAACACTTCAACAGACTATCACAAAGTATTCAATCATTTTTTCTATTTTATTAGTAGTATGACGTTATTTTTAAAAAAAGAACCACATCAAGGAATACGTCAGGATAAATCCTTCGAAAATTGTACGCAATTCAATAAACAAAGTCGAAAACTTCATGTTTCTTTTTTTGGTATGCGACGTAAAATAAAGTCTAAATAGCACGAATTACTCAAACAAGTAGCTTTCATGCGTACCGATCTGGAAGTTTTCCAAACTGACTTTTTTCATCCATTCCTTTGCGTTTCGAGTAAAACAAAAGACGTCGGTCTTGAACTTTGAAATCTCGGTAGCATCACGGTGTGTTTTTTATCGGGTGGTATTACTAACCTCACATCCAATCTTTCCTCTTTTTCGAGCTTACCACCGTCTAAATGAGTTTTAGGAATGAGTCAGCCGGGAAGCGAACCTAAACTTTGTATGTGTGTGTGGTTGGCAAGCTGTCTACCACTGACTGAATATGAATACGAATATGAAGTCAAGAAGTAGCACAATACGAAGATCTGTGCAAATGGTGCGTTGAAGATACGGTGTACATAATTTGGCTACACAGAGATACCATTTTCCAAATAAACAAACATTCCTTTCTATAGTTTGGTTTGTAAAGGTTCGTTTTATTTTTACGAGTTGATCACGGATTGATATCAGCTAGAGAAACATTGAAAAACAGCACCATGGTAATGGACAGCTGTTTCATTGTAGTTTGGGAATCATCGGTAGTACGCACGCATACAAGGCAAGACCGTATACCAATCAGCCACAGGGACCCGATTCAATGGCTCATGAATTCTAACTTCTACCAATTCGTGATTTAGCGCGACTCCAATTTAGTTCGAACCCCAGGGGATGCGTACTGCCAATAATTCTCAAACTAGGATGAAACAGCTGTCCAGTACTCCTAGTTTTCAATGGTTCCTTTACCAAATCTTTCGTCTTCTACCGTTTCAGAATCACCTAGAATTTCTTATTTGTCTGTGGTATGACTTGAAGCTGTACACCTATTCACATTCTGCATCAGACTAACTTATTTGTTTAGACAAACATTTCCACGCTAGAAGTAAACAATAAGTTACCCCAAAATATATTATCTGATGTAATAGTCTCCATCGATAAATGGATATTAGCATACGCCCAAAAAGACAGTTTTATTATCTGCTTTTAATTTTCTGTAGTCGAGACATTTTAGGAGAAAACAAAAAAAACACATCATATAAAAATAAGTAAAAATACAAGAGAAGAAATTGTCTTTGAAGTGTATTTGATAAGATGAAATAATTGTTCGATATTTAGAAAAAGAATGCACACAGGGAAATAAGTGAAAACCGAGTGATAAGAGAGGCAAATAGGAT